ACCATCGAGTGTCCATGCTGTGATATGACCTTGTTGAAAACTGGAAGCAACAGAGGTTGTCAGCCGACTTATCTTCCGTTCTGTGCTTCCACAAGGCTCACAAACATGACTCCAACAGGCCAGCTATAATGTCTGTTTCACACAGACTTCTTCATGGGAAATCATGAACTACAAGCTTCCAAGATTCATCCAGTTAAGGGTGGGTGGTCAATCCTAGGTTTCCAAAACAGCAATAATTGCCAAAACTTTTCTTGAGGTATCTATTGCATTACATAAATTTAGTTGTTGATATAAATTGCTATTTTCACTATTTTTCATGGGGTGTATACTTACTTTGGCTACCTGACTTAGGGGTGTCTCTGTTTCCCAGTAGAGGGCATGCTCAGCAACCTTCCACAGGCTAGGCTGGAGAATGCACATCACTGCAGAGAAACCAAAGTGTGTCTTACCCTTCCAGTATGACTTTTATGTGCCTTTTAAGTAACAGTGGAAGAAAGTACTGAAACACAACGAATGCATTCAGCGTGATGCAGTCTTGTCTTGTCACTTCTGAACAGGTACAACAGCATATGAATTCATATGTCCTCACAGGGAAAAAAGGAATTGAAAAATCCATTGATGGGATACTGAAAAATAATCACAAGGACTAGCCAAAGTTGTTCATGGTCATGGAGCCTCACAGTTCCATGTTGTCATAGTAATCGCTAGTTTGAAACATCTCTGGCAGATCTTTATTTAGAAAGACAGCCAGTCATTTGTCCAAGGCAATATTTGTAGGCAGGCCAAAGTTGGGGTAACCACTGAAAGCAGGTCATCAATCAAGATGGAAATTTAAATTGTGGGATTAGAAGGCAGGGAAGGCAAGGCTGAGCCAGAAAGGGGCCAAGGTTGCCAACCCCCAGGTGGCAGTTGGAGATCTTCTGCTATTACTATCAATCTCCAGATGACCCAGATCAGTTCTCCTGGATAAAAATGGCTGCTTTGGATGGTGGACTCTATAG